ATGATGTGCTGCCTTACTACAGGCCCAAAAAGCAACCCAACCAACCAACCATGGACTGAAACCCCTGAAAATCATGGACCAAATTAAACCTTTTTCTCCTTTTATACTGATTATCTTGGGTATTTTGTCACAGTAATGGAAAGCTTACTAACACAAAGGAAGATGTCTTTGTTCTGCTGAAACTCAATGAATAAGAAAAGGGAAATTTTCTGAAGTATGCAAGAGAATCATAATCACAAAGAGTGCTGATAGATACAAAATCAAGAATGGTATGGATTATAATGAGATTGATTACAATGAGAAAGATGCTGATAATTGCATAAATGTTCAGGGAAAAAGAAGTTAGAGTTTAAATGTAAAGGGGAAAATAAGGTTTAAAAAAACAAGTGATATGTAAACAAGGGGAGATTTTAGAAAGAGACACAATTGGTTAATGTCTGAACAAATAATTCAAACTGGGCATGTTGGTGCACAGGTGTACTCTTAGTTATTCAGGATCAAATAACATCCTCTGACAAAGGAGGATGATGAGAGGTCAGCCCAGGCAAAGGTAAGAAGACCCGATCTCAAAATACAAAATAAAAATAAAAGGGCAGGAGCTGTAGCTCAAGAGCATAGCCATGGATTCAATCCTCAATACTGCAAAAATAAATAAATAATTAAAAATAGGATTAAATTTAGGAAATTCAGAGGTCCTTAAACTTCCAGAGTAAAGTCAGTAGCTAAAAATTAGGTATCTAGTCAGGCTACAAATCTAGAAAAAACACAATTCAAGGTTCATGCTATGGTCTAAATATTTTGTACTGAAGCCTTAAGGATCAAGGTGATGATATTCAGAGAGAGGCCATTGGGAAGGTGATCAGGTCATGCAAGCAGAGTCCTCAGGAATAGAAATAGTGTTTTTAGAAAAGAGGCCCCAGAGAGGCCCCTCACACCTCCCTCCACAGGAGGACACAGGGGGAAGTCAGTCTGCAACCTGAAAGAGGTCCTAAGCAGAACTCAAACATGCTGGAAACTTGATCTTGGACTTCTAGCCTCTAGAACTGTGAGAAATAAACTTCTGTTGTATGTAAACCACATAGCTTATGCTCTTTTGTTATAGCAGCCAAAGTGGAATAAAATGATACCTTTAAGACGAATGCTCAGTTTGTTCACTCTCTCACTCGCTCACTCTTCATTCATTCACTCAACAGAAACTTACTGAGTTCATTCTATGTGCTACTGCCTATGCCAGGCAGTAGGGTTGGGGTGGCAAAATAAAAAATGTTATTGAATCCACAATCCAATCTGCAACAACAACCAAACCTTTGGCTAAATTTACAATATTTGGGATAATTCTGGAATAAAATGAAGGATGCAGTTGTGAGGAAACCCCATGAAGACATAAAGAACCCAGAGAAGTTCAGAAGAAAACAAAAGACAAAGCAAGAGGTTCTTACACTCAGTTTAAAATATCCTGGCTGTCTGAGGCTGAGGGGTAGACAAAAGTTTATAAAATCACAAAGACAAGGAATTAAATGACATGAATAGCTAAAAGCAGATGCTCTGGCTCCTAGGTTCAAATTCTGCTGCTTTCTAGCTGTGTGACCGTGGGCAGACTACTCACCCATCTGCATTTCTGCTCCTCACCTTTAAATAAAGCTAACAAAAGTACCGTGCTTAAAACTTTGATGTGGATGTAAATAATTGTATTGACATGTGTAAATCACAATAGTGCTCTGCACAGAGCAAAACACTCAAGAAATGTTACCTCTTTTTTTTTTCAAATTCTAGATGTTTAGAATCAGAACTGCTAATATTTACTTGTAATGATAAATAAAGTACATTATTGCTTACTTGACTTGATCATCTAAAGGAACAGTATATCCAGAAGCAGTGTATTATGAACCTACCAAGAGATGCTGAGATTAGATTAATTCCTTAGTATGAGTTAACTATCCCTTATCCAAAATGCTTCAGTCTAGGAGTTTCAGATTTTGCAAATTTTTTTTCTTTGATTTTGGGATGCTTGCATCTAAATCATGAGCTATCTTTGGAATGGAACACAAGTCTATACATGAAATCCATTTATGTTTTACATACATCTTGTACACATAGCCCAAAGGTAATTTTATACCACATTTATGGTGTACCTGTTTTGACTGTGACCCACTTGTGACATCATCATTACTCAAAGGGGTTAGGATTTTGGGTTATTTTGGATTTTGGATTCTCAGATTCAGGATGCTTGACCTATATTGAAACTGAAAGAAGTCATAAGGCAGTGTGTGTGCAGGGGGCGGGGGTGGCTGGAAATGTGTAGAGTACATGTTTATTTTTCATCTTTGCGTCCTATGACACACCTGAAGCCAGGTGCTGGTGGCTCATGCCTGTAATCCTAGCTACTCAGGAGGCAGAGATCAAGGAGGGTCTCAGTTTGAAGCCAGTCCAGGCAAATAGTTTGAAAGACCTTTCTCAAAAAAAAAAAAAAAAAAATCACAGAAAAGGGATGGTGGAGTGGCTCAGATGTAGGCCCAAAGTTCAAACTCCAGTAGCACAAAAAAAAAAAAACAAAAACCCAAAAACCAAAACATGGCTTGATGATGGAGAGAATGTGAACAGTCTTTGATGTGGCAACTCATGAGTAAAGAATAACAGACCATCATCAGAGAGGAGAGAGGAGGGTGGAGCCAGATGCATGCTGTTATTTACATAAAGAAAATAAGTTTATGTCAGCGGCTCACACACTTGGGTTAGGCCTAATCAGAACCCTCTTCTGACAAAGGCATTTGTGAGGTCACAAATGGGTGATCAGAGGAGGAGGGGGAAAAAAGCCGCCCAGGAAAAGGATCTAGCAGCCTAAGTGAAGACAAAGAGTCCATTAATTCCCCACCAAGCTGGTCACCTCTCTGTGGCCAATAGAGGCCGGACGATTTTGAAAAGAAGTCTGGGCCAAGTCCTGAGGTCAAACACGACTTTGGCTGTGTCATCCCCATTCTTGGGGCCACAAATTGCCTTATGGGTAAAATGGTTGGCAAAGTTGAAAAATGGAGCAGAACAGAAAGAGCAATCAGGATCGTTTCTTCAAAAGAAAAGTCACTTTGGAGTCTCCAGAGTTAAACATTATGTATCTGTACAGCTATAAACCTGTGTCAAGTATGGAGGGGTGGGGAAAGAGTGTGATCACAGAGCTCTACCAGCATGGCCCTGCACCCTCTTCAACCTGTGCCTGCTGGCACTTTGCAGAGGGTCTACCTCTTTTTTTCTTTTTTGAGAGAGGGTCTCACTGTGTAACCCAGGCTGGCCTCAAACTTGTGATCTTCCTGCCTCTGCCTCCCAAGCGTTGTGGATACAGGCATGTACCACCATTTCTGGCCAGGTTCTATTTCTCAGTACTATCACATTGGGAATTAAGTTTCAACAAGTAAATTTTGAGGGGTACACTCAGACAATATCTACTTTTTTCAGGGGATCTTCATCATCTTCCCTTCCCCAGGCCTGGAGAGTATTATAGGATGTTTACCAAAGACCTCAACTGCTCACTGCCTCATTCTTCTATTCCTTGACTCACTCTCCACTTCCTGCTTATTTAATATGATCTTTATCTTGAGATTTAGTATTCCTAAATTTTCTCTAAGCCCTTCTCTACCTTAATTCTGAAATTTCCTGGAATCTACCTTGACCTTGAAGATCATTTTTAAAGACCTCACATTCTGCCATCATCCCAAATACTTAACCATTTGAGTGCATATAAAGAAATTGCATTAATACATTTGTTTAACACTGTTCACATTCTATTTTATATCTCTGCCTAAGTTTATCTTCATCTTTCAGCACTAACACATAGCTCTTTGCATTTCTGTAGAAATGATGCTGTGACCCAATACAAGCATGTTACAACACCTAAATACAGTGAAGATGTTTCCCTGTTTTCTGGGACTAAAACTGATCATTGAAGCTCTGCTGTTTGTTTGTATATAGGTCAAGTTCATAGACATTGACTGATGAATGTTACAAATTTAAGCCTAAAGACAGGGTTTTAATGTTTTCACCTAATGACTTAAAAACAGGAACAAATCAAAAGCTTAGAAGTCCAGTAATGGGAAAAGAAATCTGTAATCGCATATTTTTCTATCACTCTATAATTTGAGGATAAAATGTGCACTTAGAGATGCCTAATTTTGGTAAATGATGAGGAATTTTGCAATATTTCCCTTTTTTTTTTCAGTCTGGGTGACTTAGAATCTTAGTCAACTGAAGTATAATTCACTAGTTTAAACCTATAATAAAATTACCATCATCAAATAAGTTACATTTCTTTTTGGGTTCTATGGGAACAGAAGCTTTTCTGCAATTGCATAAATCCCTACTTTGTTTGGACTTAGATATTGAGGCATTAGTAATGAATTCATAATTCATAGATGTTAAGTACCTTTAGATACAGGCTCCCCAATTCCTGAAGCAAGCACAATGATTTTTTTTAACTGAATAACTCTACTAACAGAGAATCTCCCCACAACGCATTTCCCATCACTTGCACAAGCATTTTTTTCCTTTTGCTTCTGAGCTGAGTGAGGTATGAGCATTTTACAGATACATAGATCAACACGGATGATATCTGGCTGGACAGCTCAGACAGAGTCAGGTTAGGACTTAGAACTCTCAAACCCGAATTAGTGAACTTCTCCCCCCTCCGCCCTCCCCCCAATAATTTCTTGTACTTAGAGCAAGACTTGTAGCCTTTCAGCTCCAAATAGATTCAGGGTATATCCTCCAGGAAGTTTCCTGACTTTTGTCATATAGCGTGTTCATGCAGCCTGGAGTCTAAAGTATGTCTTGAACACCTCCAATCAGATAAGGAAGAAATGTCATAGCCAGACTTTCCACTGTGTTCCTAATGTTTTATTTCACTGCAATCATTTCACTTTTTGCTCCTTCATCTCTGAGCTAGAAGGGGGATGGGAGGGGAGTATATAAAAGCACTATTTCTTTAGGATTCTTTGACATACACTCTCCACAGTTCATCTGGGCTTTTCCACTCCTTCTTGTGTTCCAGGCTAACTTTCTTGCAGTTTCCCTGATATTTTTCTGGTGAGGCGCTGGACATCTTGCCCAGCTTCCTACTCTTCCTAGGACATGCAGAGCGGCCAGTGACCCCTCTACTGGCCAGAGTCAGAGGCGCTGGGAGAGGCGGTGTTTTACGCTCCATGGTCCTCCAGCCCCATTCAATCTGGCTATTTATCCTCGTCTCTGGCTCTCTTCGGCCCGTGGAGGCTCTTCCTGAGGCACCAGGCTGGCGGTCCTTGGCTCTCCCGGGACCGTGCGGGGCAGAGGGGCGGCGACAGAGGAGCGCAGGGCGGGTAGGCTGCGAATCCGAGCGCTGCACCGAGACCCCACGCGGGGAAGAGGGAGAGGCAGCGGCAACGGGCAGGGGTCCAGGCAGCTTGGGCCAGGCTCGGAGTGCGTGGTGGGTGCTCTGAGGGACCACGGACGCCCAGCCTTGGGGGGTGACGCGGACGCTGCCGCTCAGGACGCGACCCCAGTTGCCTCTGGCACAAACCCAAGCCGCTTCCTCCTCCGAGCCGCCCTCCGGGGAGCTGCTTTCCTTCTCGGAGTCGAGCTCGGGGGACCAGACTGGGGATGGTGGGGGCGTGACAGGGGCACGGAAGTAGGGGAGCAGAAGGACCGCGCGCAGCCGCCGCGCGGGAGAGCTGTAGGGCAGCCGGAGGGGCAGCGACATCTGCGGGCGAAGGAGCCGCCGATCGCCCGGAGGAGGCGGGCCGCAGAGAGACTGGCGGGCTTCGCTGCTCGAGAGACGGATGGTCAGAGAAGTGATGGCCCCTTGCTGCGCGCTCACGTCCGCCCCAGCGCTGGAAACCCAGCGACGTCCGTGAATCTCGGGTTAGGGTTCATCAAATTAACTCGAGGGACTAGAAGAACCCAGTTTTCTCGTTAGGGACAGAGATTACTTGTCGTCTCTTGCCGTCAGAAAGTTAGTCCAACACTTGATAATCTATCCTAAGTGAGAAGAAAAAATAAAGACGCAGCGTTGTCTGTTCCCGGACTAGGGGATGTAAAAGGTTCCTGAGAAGTAGAAAGAACCAGTTTTGGCCGGCGCGGCGAGCTCAGCCCATTGACAATTCAGCGCGGGAAAGGGTTAACTGCATCCTGCTGGTTCGGTTTACATGTAAATAGAGAGCAGCTGCTCCGCGCGGGCCCCGGCTGGCTCTTTTAAGTTTTTGATTGGTTGCCAATGACATCACCGCCCGTGTTATAACACCAAGAACCCAAAGCGGCGTCGGATAAACCCTCCTTAAAGAGACGAGGCCACGCCTTCGGCTCCTCCCCCTTGGCCGTCCATTGGCTGCGGGCCTCTGTGAGGTAGCGGGCGGCTTTCTCCGGACTCTTATTGGTTCAACGCGCCGTCGGTCGGCGGCTGCCCCGCCCCCTCAGAACCTTACATTTACAGTGTAGCAAAAGAGAAAGTAACTATGTTGCTGCTGGAGATCAATGAAGCTAAGTGAATGGGGGCTGAACGTACGAGTCCATACTGAAGCGGAGCGCCAGATGGTGGAGGGCTACGCTTATTTATGAAGTAAGTGGAAGTCACTGCGGCTACTCTGGAGAACCCAGGAGCGGAGGTGGAGAATTGTAAGGCTGTGTGTGTGTGTGTGTGTGTGTGTGTGTGTGTGGGGGGGGGGGGGGAGAGAGAGAGAGAGAGAGAGAGAGAGAGAGAGAGAGAGAGAGAGAGAGAGAGAGAGAGAGAGAGAGAGAGAGAAAGACAGAGCGACAGAGAGAGAGAGAGATGCGATGCTGACGGAGGAGCCCCAGCAGGTAAGGTTAGAAGGTTCCGGCTGTTGGCTCCCGTTGCTCTGTGCGTTTACTCTCTCTGCAGTCTACTTGGATTGGGGGTGAAGGAAAAAAAAAAGGGTTGTTGGGATGCTTTGCGGCAGTTTTAAATGCCCGGGCTTGTTAGTGCGCTGTGTAGCGAGGAAAGGGGTAAGTGCCCCAGGAGTGAGGAACAGTTTTAACACTTCATTTTCTCTCCAGCTCTTGCTAGTGGAGGAAGGGAGATTAGCGAGGAAGGGGAAGGTAACTCAGTATTTCTCCAGGAGGTGTACTGGGCCGGACTGGATGGGTTTCACGGGCACTATGTCTGCCAGACCCTCTGCTGCAGGGATGCAGATCTCTGTACTCAGTGCGTGTGTACGAGCCGCGCACTCCCCGTGCGGAGGCGGGGGTCCCAGCATGTGCCTCTGTGAACACGTTTATGCATCCCTCTCAAAGGAAATGGTTGCTGATCCTGGACGTATCCTACCAGGTAACACAAAAGCAAAGGCTTTTACCACTCGGTCCAGCTGGGAAACAGTTATAGCTTCTGGAATAGTACTCGCTCTTCAAAAAAAAAAAAAAATACTACGCAAAGGAAGGAGGGAGGGAGGGAGGCGGGAGGTTGGATCCTTCGTTGGCATCCAGAGGTGGGTGAGAGAAATCCGAGTCAGTGGGGATATGCGGACTTAGTGGTTACCCTGTGTATGCTTGTGCTGATCGCCTGTAACACTTTGGCTCGGTGTCAGAGAATGGTGAAGGTTGTGTGTAGACGGATGATAGATGACATTTTTCCAGACAGCTCTTAAAGTTCGTTTAGATGAGCAGCTCTTGCTTGGGGTTTGGTTTCTTTGCTATGTGCATGTCTAGTAGAAAGAGAAGAGCCAGCAAGGCCGTGTTGTAGAGCGGCCCTGTGCCTACAGGGAGGAAGGAACTGTCCCTTTGCAGGCACCCTGTGAGGAGACAGTAGGTAGACTCAGTGGGCAACACTTCCCAATTAGCCGGTCCCTGTTGAAGGGGCAAAGAAGTCCTCTTTATTGAATCCATACTCTCTCTACAAGGGGGACCTCTGTATGGGATTGAAATTTTATACAAAGCAGCTGCTCCAATTGAGAGAGGCTCTAGGGTGCAAGGTCCGTGCCAGTGGGGAAGATGAAGGGAGAAGAGTCCAAGTGCTCTTTCTTAGAGAGAGGGAGTAAGGGTGAGTGTGGGCAGGGGAGGAATGGGTGATGGATCTGCTAGAGTTGGGGGTTTCCAAACCTGGCTTCTTGAATTGAGATTTCGTTTTAGGACAATTTGTGATGAGAGGAAATGCAGATTAATTTGTAAGAGGCTAGCAGAAAATAGGTAAGGGTTTAACATGAGTATGTTGTGCTTTTCTTTGGATCCCATAGAATAAAAAGCAAGAATAGCTCCTGGTTAAAGATTCACTTATGGGGTGCTTTCTTTCTGATTTGCAGAAAGTTGACATCCATCCCCAGATGTATATTTAGCTGCTGTATATTTCTGTGAGCCGTGCCAATGCTCTTGGTTATCTCTTTGCCGTTGCAATGGGTGAAGGAATTATATGGAAAGCATGCAAGGGTGGACAAATGGGTCTTTCTCAGTTGCAGCTTACTTCTGCCCAGATGAGGTCCAGAATAGATGTCTCTTCAGAGCCTTCTTTTCTGCTTCAGCTTTTCTAATTCTTTGTGCTCTTACCTTCTCTTAAGGCTGAACTTTGATGTAGGCCCATGTAGGTTACTCATTAACATTTACAACATCAAATCTAAATTTAACCTTCAACTTAGCAGCCAAATAGATGGGACCCTTAGGTTTGCATCCTCTTCGAATACATCAAAATGAATTTCAAGCTTTGATAGCAGCATGATAAAGGGCACCAGAGTGACTTTGCTCAGAAATATGCAAAGGCCTTTGCTAGGGATTGGGTAAGACTGCCTTTTGTGTCACATGACTTTATTCTTTCTTTCCCCTTCCCCTTCTTTACAGACTCTTGAGTTCTTCTTGAATTGCCAGTTTTCAGCCTCCTCATGCCTCCGACTCCTTTAGACGACAGGGTAGTAGTGGCACTGTCTAGGCCTGTCCGACCTCAGGATCTCAACCTTTGTTTAGACTCTGGCTACCTTGGCTCTGCCACCCCAGGCAGTAGTAGCCACCCTCCTGTCATTGCCACCACCGTTGTGCCCCTCAAGGCTGCGAATCTGACGTATATGCCCTCACCCAGCGGCTCTGCCCGCTCCCTGAATTGTGGATGCAGCAGTGCCAGCTGCTGCACTGTGGCAACCTACGACAAGGACAATCAGGCCCAGACCCAAGCCATTGCCACTGGCACTGCCACCACTGCCATTGGAACCTCTACCACCTGCTCTGCTAACCAGATGGTCAACAACAATGAGAATACAGGCTCTTTAAGTCCATCAGGTGGGGTGGGCAGCCCTGTGTCAGGGACCCCCAAGCAGCTAGCCAGCATCAAAATCATCTACCCCAATGACTTGGCGAAGAAGATGACCAAATGCAGCAAAAGTCACCTGCCCAGCCAGGGCCCTGTCATCATTGACTGCAGGCCCTTCATGGAGTACAACAAGAGTCACATCCAAGGAGCTGTCCACATTAACTGTGCCGATAAGATCAGCCGACGGAGACTGCAGCAGGGCAAGATCACTGTCCTGGACTTGATTTCCTGTAGGGAAGGCAAGGACTCTTTCAAGAGGATCTTTTCCAAAGAAATTATAGTTTATGATGAGAATACCAATGAGCCGAGCCGAGTGATGCCCTCCCAGCCGCTTCACATAGTTCTCGAGTCCCTGAAGAGAGAAGGCAAAGAACCTCTGGTGTTGAAAGGTAATGCCCTTGCTTCTTTTTCAAGTGAGCTGGGCTCACTTTGGGATTTCTGTTAGAAGCAACACCCTTCTCCTTATCCTGGCTACAAAGGACCAAAATAGTCCTTCTTCTTGTTTTTTCTTCATGTCTTTTCATTATTATTTTGTTATCATAAGACAAATCCAGCAGCATTGAGTGGAGGGCAGATCTGGGTCCTAGCTTTGATTTGGCTTCTAATTTGCGTTGTCTAAGTCATTTCAACTGAGATGGTTTTCTCATTTTTCCAGAAAGGGACTTTGTGCCACCAGATCTTATCTTGAGTCATGATTGGAATGTTATTGTCTCTGAGACTTAACCAATGTTCATGGACTAGGGGAAGCATCAACTGTGGTGAACTTTGTGTAAGTCCATAGGTACCCATTCTTTGTGTGGGAAATTATTCCTCTTTCTCACCTCTCTGATCAGCTTGACTTTTATATGGTCTATAAAGTGACCTTCCAGAATGGCAAACATCTTTATTTTATGGCCTCATGGAAAGTGTAAAGTTCATTAAATGTAGCCATTCCTCTGCCAGAGTTCCAAAGGCACATCGTCATTTATGAAGCACTCTCTAACCCATTGTTCTTTCTGGCTTCACCTAACATTTTTGGAACTATGGCTCTTCCCAAAATGGAGTTGGGTCACTTTTCTCAGTATACTAGATGTAGAATAGCTCTGAGGTTATTGGAGATGAGCCCCAATAAACCCACTAACAGTGTTGCTAACTTAGCAGGAACCATGACCTTGTGCCCAGCCCACATATATCTCTTTGACCACTGATATTGTCCTGTGGGGCACTGTACATCACTCCTCATAGCAAGGGGTAGTCTTCTTTCTCCTCTCCTCTTGTGTTTTGAGCCAAGGTACAAAGTTTTTGGGTTACATTTCCAGCCAGTCTCCTAAAGCCTGTTGATAAAGGTATTCTGGGTTCCTTTGAACACTTTGCATATTTAAGTTGCAATGAGCAATATAGGTGGGTAAGTTATTCATCTTTGTGGGTAGCTCTGCCACTTTCCTTGTCTTCCAAATGGTACATTCTGCCTTTTGCTAAGCATGTTTTTGGAAAACTGGTTCTGAGTTCCTCTGCTATACATAACCCTTCCTCTTCTCCATTCTTGACCTCAAGTTTGCCTTATTGGCTTTTATCACAAAGACATATCTTTCCTTAGGGCTAGTGGGCAGTGATGGGAAGGAGAACATCATATATATGCAGGGAATTGTGGAAACTCCAGAGGTTTTATTGGTAGTCGGTTTTCTAGGAGTCGCAAATATGTTCCAGTTTTCTCTGTGCAGCTCTATATTCTATTCTGTATTCTTGTTTGGTTGACTTTTAGTATTTCCTGGTACATTTACCCTGCTGCTGTGTTCTCACGATGATAGTGACTTGTCTTAAGTTTTTCAGATGAGAAAATACCATCCACAAATTTCCCATTTGTAATAGTTTGTCTTGAACAAAGACAAACATTCTTGCTGGTCTCTTTTCTCCTGTGGAGTCAATGTTCTTGACAAAAAGCAGGCATTTTGTGTCTGTGTGATCTGAGGAGTGGAATCAAGCAATGTAAATTAGGATGAACTTGGACATGGGGGTGATTAGGAGGAGATATAGATCATACCTTCTGTTTTGCCGTGGGCCTTTTTGACCAGAGGTGTGGCCTGTCAGTTGCTGAGAAGTGAATCTCCCAAGGGCTATGGATATAAGTAGGGTTCCTCTCCCCCTTTCCTGGGGATACAGCTGAGGATCGGGGCAGCCTGGGCTTGTTCCTCAGTGTAAGTGTTAGATTGCCTCAGTGGGGCGGGGCTGGACATGTTGCTGACCTCACCACCCAGCGCCCTGGGCGGCGGCACTGAGGGCTCGTCATTTCGGGTTGGTGAGACACTGCGGCGGTCGACTTGGAAGACTCTCTGGTGGTAGAGGTTGGATTGTTTGTAGTTTGGGGGAACTTTGTATTCAAATATCTGGGAATTTGGTTGAAGATATACCAGTTCAGGAGCAGAAGGGTCTGCAATCTATTAATTATTATTATTGTTAATTTGGTGTCTTTGGGGGGAAATGGCTTGAAATCAGAACCAAGATAGGTCAGAAGGGTAAGGGGTAGGTCATTATTAGAATGTTCCTGGTTGTTCTTTCATCTAGCTAAACCAGAGTTAATACCATAGCACCACTGAGGTGAAGGGTGGAGTGGGCATCTCTCAGCAACCTTGGTCAGCACCTTCTCCCAGGTCGTTGAGAGGGTCAAGCAGACCATCTTGGTCTGCCTTGTTTTCTGAGGTTTATTTTAGAAATAACCTCCCATGGTGATCTAACATAGAATTTTGGCAAGAGTTGTAGTGGCACCATTTTGGAATGAGTGAACTTTGCAGGGAAGATGTGCGATGTGGGAGTAATGGAGGGGTAGTTAGACTATTTGGTAGAAACTTAATTTTCAGGAATTTCAGTATAGTCTTGAGTAATTTATGCTCTGGCCCATCTGACTGGTGGCTCATGTTTGTAAACACTGGTTGCTACCCTACTTGTCCAAGTCTTATGTCCCCCTGTTTCAAGGCCATGTTCTCCATTTTTGGTGCTGCCTGTCAAGGAGAGCGACTGCTGGGTTGCCATTTTAGTAATGCTGTGTCAGGTTGGGAAGAAACTGATCAGAGGCACAGAAGCCTCTGGGATTAAATTACTGTACTAATTTACTGTCCCCTCCCTGTTGACCTATGTCTGAATCCATGTCTTATTCTCATTTTCTGAAGAATAAATGGTATCAGGCTATTCTGTGCTTATTCTTGACCTGATGAAAATGATCCAAATGAATTAAATATTTAGGGATTTTCAAAGTCTTTGAAAGAATTACAATCTTTTTTACCTGAGGTTAAGTTTTAGTCAACTAGAACTTGGTTTCTAGCCAAGCTGAATAAGAACCCTCCACAATGAAAGACACTGTTTTTGCTGTAATGTTTATGAGGCTATCTTTCTTTTCAACAAATCTGGGTTCAAGAAAATGATTTGTCTTTTGCTTATGTAGGAAGAGATAGTCTATTCCTGTGTCCTCTTTAAAGGCAATATGTGCCTTCAAAACTTCATTACAAAATATTTCAGACATTTAGAAGAGCAGAGAATTATATAAGGAATACCCCTGTATCAATCAACCAGATTAAAATACTAAGTGTATTATCCCTATTTGCTTTTTCTTACTTTTTTGTTGAAATGCTTTATAGTATAGACAATATTCTAATGTATTTAAGTATATTTAATGTTTAACATTAATATTTTTAACAAAGCTGGGAATAGTGTATAGGATGGTATGAACATTTTTACTGCCAAATTCTTCAGTGTCATGAACCCGTCTTTGAGTGTTTCTCAAACAGAATCCCACTGTCACGACTTGCTGTCAGATATAAGGTCAAGCTTCTCTTCCTGGGAGTGGGAGGGATCCTTTTGGTCTGTGTCTTCCATTCCCACTGGGGTATGTTAGAGTCTGTGCCTGACCTCACTGTGTGGTGTTACAAAACAAAGACAGACTGACAGACTTCCATGGTCTTTCACAGCCCTGTTCTGTCCAGAGGCTTTTTGGGGGGAGCCAGGAAAGGGCAGGGAAATAGTTTAAGATGCTAATACTCAGGGAGGAGTAAAACACAGGGAAGATAGATTTTACATTGTAAAACTTTCCCTTACGACTCCTAAGAAGTGAGCAATGTAGATTGTGCACTATTCCCTAATTTAAAAGATTCTGAAATATACATTTGTAGGCAATTTAGAATTAGATGACAGTGTAAGTGCCTATGTTCAGATATCAGATGCCCTTGTGAAAAATTTTTTTCTATCTCTGTTTTGTTTCTGGGGGTGAGGGGGGTAAAAATATCCCCCAAAATTGCCTCTCAGGGATATGATGAGAATTTTTTTAAAGGTAAGTGAAGCAAAAACAATATCTACATTCCTAAACTTACTGTGATTATTCTGAGTCTCTGATTAATACTCAAGGCTAAATGCCAGACATTAGCTCTGTAACAAAGTGGAGAAATTAAGGCAGAATTCTGGATTAAGCAAGCCTGAGTTCTAGTGTTGGTTCTCCCTTTATGTGTCCTTGGACAAGTTGCTTAAATGCTCAGTCTTAGTTTCCTCTTTTACAAAAAGAGTCTATAACAATAGCTATCTCATAGTGCTAGTTTCAGAGTTAAATGAATTAATGCAAAGTGTTCACAATAGTTTCTTGTACATGGTAAGCATTTCATAAATGTAGCTCAGTGTTATCATTACTATTGATTGAACAGAAATGGTAGTGCCAATAAAAAGGTAATTTTGGTTCTTTTTTTCAACCGAGTACAAATAACAAACTAGGTATACCCGTGTGAGTGTGTGTGTGTATGTGTTGCTATGGCCTAAAAATAACTTGGTGACTGTTACCTAATTTAAGTAGCATACAGTTAAAGTGCCAAGTAATTGCAAAGACATGTTGGGTCAAGAGACCAGAGTAATTTGGGCATATCCTAGAATTATTTATTTGGAGGGGAATTTATGAAAACGTGATGATAAATCTATCCAACTGATGTCCCACAACTGAAGAATGAAAGGATAACACTTTTAAGCTTTGCTTTTTTCTGGCCTCTCCTCAGACTGATTTATTTTTGGAAGAAGGATTGTAGTCTGACTATAAAAGGGTAGATGGAGGGAGGAGGGTGTGGGCTCCTTGGGCTGTGAGGAGCTGGCATGTGAAGGAATGGGAGAGAAGGAGTTGAATGCCTGCTCCTTTTTTTTGGCAAGTCCTGAACCTTTCCCCTGAACCACTGCAGGGTTGTTGCCTGTTCTCTCCTCCTGAGTGTTGGTGTCTACTCTCCTGTTTCCTAATTAAAATGTATGTAAAAAGAGAGTGGAAGTGAACTCCCCTGTCTGTGACTCCCCTGTCCTTACTCCATCTGTTCTTTATTCATTGTGTGCTCAGCAGAGTGGAGTTTAGCTCACTTACCCCTAGCTTCAAGTCTAGGCTTTTCCAAAGGACTGT